TGCATCTGGCCACCGCCAGGAGCAGCAGGAGCAGTGGTAGCCGCAGTAGCAGCAGCAGTAGCAATAGCAGTAGTCGCAGCGCTGCCACCCCTATAACCCCACCTAGCGTACCACTCACGAAGCTGTTGGGGGGTGAGGGACTCACGCGGACGGCGCTGGAGCTGCATCTGGCCACGCCAGGAGCAGCAGTAGCAGTAGAAAGAGCAGTAGCAGCAAGAGCAGCAGTAACAGCAGTACGGGCAGGGCAGTGCTCACCAGTGGCGAGAAGGGCAGGCGTACGACGGCGGCAACGGCGAGGCCGCTACCACTGTAGGGCGAGGGCTCCGCGGCAGCTGCAGGGGCGGCTGCTCCAGGGGCGGCAGTTGTAGGGGCGGCTGCTCCAGGGGCGGCTGCTGCAGGGGCAGCTGCTCCAGGGGCGGCTGCTCCAGGGGCGGCTGCTGCAGGGGCGGCTGCTCCAGGGGCGGCTGCTGCAGGGGCGGCTGCTCCAGGGGCGGCTGCTGCAGTGGCGGCTGCTCCAGGGGCGGCTGCTCCAGGGGCGGCTGCTGCAGGGGCGGCTCCTCCAGGGGCGGCTGCTGCAGGGGCGGCTCCTCCAGGGGCGGCTGCTGCAGGGGCGGCTGCTCCAGGGGCGGCTGCTGCAGGGGTGGCTGCTCCAGGGGCGGCTGCTGCAGTGGCGGCTGCTCCTGGGGCGGCTGCTTCAGGGGCGGCTGCTCCAGGGGCGGCTGCTGCAGGGGAGGCTGCTCCAGGGGCGGCTGCTGCAGTGGCGGCTGCTCCAGGGGCGGCTTCTGCAGGGGCGGCTGCTGCAGTGGCGGCTGCTCCAGGGGCGGCTGCTGCAGGGGCGGCTGCTCCAGGGGCGACTGCTGCAGTGGCGGCTGCTCCAGGGGCGGCTGCTGCAGGGGCGGCTGCTCCAGGGGCGGCTGCTGCAGGGGTGGCTGCTCCAGGGGCGGCTGGGGCGGCTGCTGCAGTGGCGGCTGCTCCAGGGGCGGCTGCTTCAGGGGCGGCTGCTCCAGGGGCGGCTGCTGCAGTGGCGGCTGCTCCAGGGGCGGCTGCTGTAGTGGCGGCTGCTCCAGGGCGCGGGTTAGGGCAGGGCGCCGCGGCGGGCAGGGGTGACGCCACGCGGGTCCCGCAGGGGCGTCGCGACGCACAGGAGCCGCGCCTCGCGGGTCCCGCAGGGGCGTCGCGACGAGGCAGGGGCGACGCGGCGGGGCCGCGACTGGCGACGGGGCGGGGCCGCGACTGGCGACGGGGCGAGGCCGCGACTGGCGACGGGGCGGGGCCGCGACTGGCGACAGGGCGGGGCCGCTACGGGCAGCGGGGCGGGGCCGCAAAGGGAGCCGCGAGGGAGCCGCGAGGGGGCCGCGAGGGGGCCGTGAAGGGGCCGCGAGGGGGCCGCGAAGGGGCCGTGAAGGGGCCGCGAAGGGGCCGCGAAGGGGCCGCGAGGGGGCCGTGAAGGTGCCGCGAAGGGGCCGTGAAGGGGCCGCGAAGGGGCCGTGAAGGGGCCGCGAAGGGGCCGTGAAGGGGCCGTGAAGGGGCCGTGAAGGGGCCGCGAAGGGGCCGTGAGGGGGCCGTGAAGGGGCCGCGAAGGTGCCGCGAAGGGGCCGTGAAGGGGCCGCGAAGGGGCTGCGAAGGGAGGCCGCGAAGGGGCCACGAGGGGCCTGAAGGGGCCGCGAAGGGCCGTGAGAGGGGCCGTGAGAGGCCGTGAGAGGGGCCGCTACTTGGCCTTAGGGGAGCGCGACGGGCCACCAAGGGCAGGGGACGCGACGGGAGGGTAGGCACACGGGGCGCGACTCGGGCAGGGGCGAAGCGCGCTCCGGGCAGGAAAAAAAAATCGATATTCGGTGGGCCCTAGGAAACGTTCCCACTAGGGAACCTGCTCTATACCATGTGAAAGAACGAGGGATGAGTGAACTAGCAAGCAGGTGGGTACAATTAGGAAAACCTAAAAGTGTTGTACCCCATATTGTCTACCCCACTACAGCCTACACAGACTATAGCATATGAGTTTGACAATGAGAGGACGAGGGGATGAGAGGACGAGGGGATGAGAGGACGGGGGGATGAGAGGACGAGGGGATGAGAGGACAGGGGACAGGGGGATGAGAGGCCGGGGTAATGAGAGGACGGGGGGGGTTTTCGCGGGAGGGGAGGGAAGCCGGCGGGAGGGGGGATTCCCGGGCGACACGGAGGGCGATGGCAGGGGAAGCGTGGGCGACGGTGGGGGGAAGCGTGGGCGACGGTGGGGGGAAGCGTGGGCGACGGTGGGGGGAAACGTGGGCGACGGTGGGGGGAAACGTGGGCGACGGTGGGGGGAAACGTGGGCGACGGTGGGGGGAAACGTGGGCGATGGTGGCGGGAAACGTGGGCGACGGTGGGGAGAAGCGTGGGCGACGGTGGGGGGAAGCGTGGGCGACGGTGGGGAGAAGCGTTGGCGACGGTGGGGAAAAGAGTTGGCGACGGTGGGGAATAGAGTTGGCGACGGTGGGTAAAAGCGTTGGCGACGGTGGGGAAAAGCGTTGGCGACGGTGGGGGGAAGCGTGGGTGACGGGGAGGAAGCGTGGGCCACGGTGGGAGGAAGCGTGGGGGACGGTAAGAGGAAGCGTGGGCGACGGTAAGAGGAAGCGTGGGCGACGGTAAGAGGAAGCGTCGGTGACGGTGGGCTGAAGCGGGGGTGACGGTCCGGTGAAGCGTGGGCGATGAGCATGTGTGAATGTGGGGGGAGGCGTGCGCGATGGTCACCGGAATTGTGGGTGCACCCAGGGAGCAGGAGGCAGCGACGGTAAAGGGGAAGCGTGAGCGAAGGTGAGGGAAAGGGTGGGGGGAAGCGTGGGCGTGTGCGTAGGGTACGCAGAAGGCGAATGTGATGTTTGAGGAAGGGCGATGCCAGGGCGACCGAGTGAGGCAACGCGATACACCGTGGCGTTGCTGTCATACCGAGGCGCTACGACTGGAAAATAAGTCGGGGTGTCTACATTGGCCGAGAGATTGACGGCGGAGGCGGAAGGCTGGGGATACTTTCGCGACGCGCGAGCGTGTGCTTCTTTCTAAGCCTGAGACTACTACTCGCTGCAACGACACTTGGAGAGAACGTGGCGGTTGCGTTAGAGGAAACATAATGGCGGCGGCTCGGTTGCAACTAAAGTCGCCAAAGGTCCCTGATTCGTGTCTTTGAACAGAGCACTTAGACTGAAGATTGCCCGTATGTGACGGGAGAACGACTACTAGCGTGCCTCATAATATGCGTGTCCAAGCGTTCCCGATGGTTTTCAAGTTTACTCAAGGTGAATAGTGCTTTCCTCTGAGGCGTTTTTCCTGCTTGTTGTTCCAGTTTATCGCTGGCCAATCACGGATCACCTCTGCTGCTTGAAACCGACGGATTGTTCTGAACCAGCTGGTAACATGGTTATTCACGAAATCAACTTCAAGAAACTTGAATTTGAAAAATACATGTGAAAATCGGGCTTTAAAAAGAAAATGATAGCTCCTTCTGGTGCACATGATCGAAGTGCGAGGCATTTCCACTCAGGACGCTGATCGTTCGCCACTATTTTCAGTCCACAATATTCGGTTAGGGCGTGTCCCATGAGTTCGTTTTGGGGAAAATCCTATTTTTTACGTAAACTGCGAGTCAGCAAAAGAGTGTACACTCTGACGGAAAAAAAAACGGAATGTGTCAGCACCGAGCAAAACGGAATTGCACCAGGCGGACGCATAGTCCCGCCCACACAAAAAACGTCATGCGATTCAGAATTGACAGAATCCGCGAGCGGTAACCCGCCCCAGTTGCGAATCGATTGTTGAGTATGGCGGATGTGATGCGCGTGGAATTTTGGTGCTGGGGCGAGACTCGGTACCCCTGGCGACGTTTGTTTTTTTCGCGAGACCATGGTTTGGGCGAATTCGGAGTTTACGGTAACCCCTCACGCGGACCCGTTCGAGGTGATCGCACGTACGTAGGTTCTCTTTCTAAACGCGTTCAAAACGAACAGGTCGACGTGGGAAATGCGTCAATTGTCGTGCGTCATTTAAGACGCATGTATACAGTAGAGGGTTACAAGCGCGAAATAGGGTAACAAACATGAACAGAACTGTAAACGAACTCGTGGGACACGCCCTTAGTCAGGATGGCTCTTGACAGAGAGCTGATCACAGTGCAAGCCATCCAAATCACTTCCCTCCTCGTCGCATCGCTAGTCAGTGGGATCATCTGCGGTCCCGCGTTGATCGCGGCATCGGAACTGGAAGATGCCATCAACAAGGCGAACGCGGTAAGGATGGATGGATTCACACCGAGAGTACCGCGACAAAATAGAGTGTCATCGTGACTATCGCGGCGTCGAAACTGGAGGATGTCGTGACAAGGCGAACGCGGTACGAACGAAGTAACATTGATATGGACTGGATTTCACGTCGACGGTTGTAGTCATGTCGTCCAAATAGCGTTGGTAGTTTCACATCGACGGTTCTGAGTAGATCGATCGTATCGCGTTGGTAGTTTCACACCAATGGTTTCAAGTCTATATAGTCACGTCGATAGCATCGCATTTGTTGTTTCAAACCATTCGTTTTACGTCGGTAGTATCACGCCGTAGCGATCATAGGTGTTTGTAGAACCGCGCGTTGTGGGAAAGTTGTATTAGAAAGGCAAGATCGTTGTCTTGCGTTCTTGTCGCCTATAATGCGTTCAGCTTCGGGGGCTTCGCACGTAAAGCCTGCACCAAGAGTCCGCGATACCCTAAGTCTCACTAGGAGCTGAGCGCGCAGCTGTGAGAGAGATTTCTTTATCACGATCAATTTCATTTTCCGCGACCCAAAAAAATGTATATACCGAAGACAAAGAACCCTGAAAAAAGTCGGGTTTCTGTAGCCAGTAGGACCTAGAAGAATGATTGTGACGAGGACGGGTTTCCGCAACATCCGCAGCGAGTATTTTCGTCCACTCTCTTAGTGTGCGTGTTTGATGTGTGTGCGTGTTGGTGTGTGTCCACGTGGCGGCGGTAATACAGAGAGGATCAGGCGCGTCGGCCACGGAGCTCGTTCTCACATCCAGCGTGCAGCTCACAACGTAAGTTCTTTTGAGGCGTCTCAAAAGGCAGCTCACAGAGTGAGTTCCCCATCAGTCCACGTCTGCACATGTCACGTCTCTCCACGTCTGCACATGTCACGTCTCTCCACGTCTGCACATGTCACGTCTCTCCACGTCTGCACATGTCACGTCTCTCCACGTCTGCACATGTCACGTCTCTCCACGTGTGCACATGTCACGTCTCTCCACGTCTGCACATGTCACGTCTCTCCACGTGTGTCGCTTGATAATGCCGCACACCACGCTCCTATCTTCTCTTTACGCTCCCATCCCATCATGCAGACCCTATCCTATCGTTCCCATTTTGAACCTACTCTCGCTCGCCTCGTGCTTGAGCCGTCTACTCCAAATGCTCCCCCACCCTCCCTCCCCTCCCTCCACATCCTCAGCCCCTCTTCCTCCTTCCCGCACCCTCCCTTTCCCCAGCCCCCTCCCCGCACTCTCAGGCGCGGCCAAGCTGACCATCACGGGCGCGTGTGCCTCCAGCAGGTTGGTAACAGGGTTACCAGGTGGGGGTGGTAGGGTTACCTGGTGGGTAGTAGGGTTACCATCTGGATGGTAGGATTACCAGGTGCGCAGTAGGGTTACCAGATGTTGGTAGAATTACCATGTGGGTGGGGGTTTTACCAGGTGGGTGGGGGTTTTACCAAGTGGGTGGGGGTTTTACCAGGTGGTAGTAGGTTCACCTGGGAATGGTAGGTCCAATGGGACAGGTTGGTAGTCTAGACCCCACTTGGTAGTCACAAGAAGGGTGCCTTCTCAACCAATCTCGTCACCACTACTACCATAGTTGCAACCACCATCACCATCATCATCACCATCGCCATCCCCATCGCCATCGCCATCCCCATCGCCATCGCCATCGCCATCGCCATCGCCATCCCCTTCGCCATCGCCATCCCCATCGCCATCGCCATCGCCATCCCCATCGCCATCGTCGTTGCTGTTGTCAACGCCTCCATCCATCTCCTCTCTCCTCCTCTCCCCAACCCGCTTCGTTCCATCAATCTATCTTCGCGCACCTTTCCTCCTCAACACCAGGTGTAATATCAGCGGGGGTGGCGCCTTCCCCATATTCACCTCCCCCTCGACGGGCCCCACAGGAGGGGTGTTGACTCTGGTCAACCTTAACTTCTGGCGGGCGGCAGGAGGCGTCTTTAGCAAGGTCCAAGCGGCAATCAATGCAACTGATTGCGGCTTTATTGGAAATAAGGCTCCTACCATGGGCAGTGGGGTACTAAGGTGAGTGAGTGGAGTGTTGGGGATGAGATGAGAGAGTGAGAAGGGTGCTCGGGTGAGCGTGAAGGAGGGAGTGGTTGAAGGAGCGGTGATATTGTGTGTGGTGTACATGAAATTGTTTGTGATCACGTTAGTCCCAATTTCGTGATCATGCTGGCGTGCTCCCAATTTCATGTGTGGTGTACATGAAATTGTGTGTGGTGCAGGGGAGCACGCCAGCATGATCACGTTGGTCTCTGGATAGACTCAGATTTTCCATCTCTCCTTGCATTGTGTCGTACACAACAACTCGGCGGCAATCCGTGATCGATAGCCTTCACTCTCTTTTGCTCCCCACTCTCTATTGCCCCCCACTCAACCCAACCCACCAGCGAATCCTTCCCTGCAAAATCCACCCCTCCCTACCGCATCTTCTCGCGCTGCGCCTTCATCAACAACACATCGCCCGTCGGGGGAGGTGGAGCCGTCAACATAAACGCATGGAACCCCAGTGGCGCCGTACCCGCTCTCTCCTTCCTGAGCTGCCGCTTCAAGGACAACAGCGCGCCCAGCAGCGTCGGAGGAGCAATTTCGGTGGCTGGGACTGGCAGGGTGCGGTTCCACATGTGTACGATTGATGGGAACACCGCTGGTGAGCGTGCAGGGTTTGTCTGGGGGAGGCATCTACTTCAACGGAGCCTCTTTCTTCCTCTCTCTGGTCACCTTCAAAAGCAACAAGGCCCTCGGGCATTGACCTCCGCCTTAGCCTTCTCGCCCTCGGCATCCCCCCTGGCAGCTGCGGTATCGGCAGCGACGTGCATGCCGTCACAGAGCCATACAGCTACATGACTCTCCGCTTCTGCACGTCTTGTTTTGAGTTGAGTCACCTGCCCTTCCCGCCCTCCCATCCATCCTTCCAGGTGCGTCTGGGGGAGCCGTATACTTGAACGGCGCCTCCTTCTTTCTCTCCATTGTCACCTTCAAGAGCAACAGGGCCCTCGGCATTGACCTCCGCCCTAGCCTTCTCGCCCTCGGGATTCCCACTGGCAGCTGCGGTATTGGCAGTGAAGTGCATGCAGTCACAGAGCCATACAGCTACATGACTCTCCGCTTCTGCGGGTCTTCCTTTTCGGGCAGCTCGGGCAGCTCGGGCGGCACGGGGTGCACGGGCAGCACTGCGAACGCCAGCGCGCTGTTCCTGCAAACGGTTTCGGGCGGCTCGAATTCTCCAGCGACGGTGATGCTTTGCGATGGGACAATGAAGCCGCCTGGGTTTGTCATGCCCTCGAAAGGGTGGCAGGGGGATGGCGGTTGTTCAGCTAGGTGAGGGGGGAGGATGGCTGGGTAGATGGGGAAGAGTTGGTGGGGAGTTGACGGTGACGGCGACGGTGGTGTTTTGTGATGGGACGATCAAGCCGCCTGGGATCCTCATGCCCTCTTAAGGTTGGCTGGAGGATAGAGGTTGCTCAGCCAGGTGAGGGAGAATGCTGGCTAGGTACATACATGGGGAAGAGTGGGTGAAGAAAGGGGGGGGATTCTGCAGTGGCACTTGTTGATGCCATCCCCACTTGTTGCTCCCGTCCTACCTCTTTTTCTCGTTGCACACACACCCGTGCTAGATCCATGCATTTTAAACATTCAGCCGCCGGATTGAAAACACGGATCTCCCTCTCGCCTCTCCCCACCCTTTCTCCCATCCAAGCAGCACTTGTGCTTAGGGCCTGGCTGTCGTGCTTCGCCTCAGTCAACACCTGCGTTTTCCGTAAGCTCCTGGCTTTTCCGTGAACTCCTGGTTTTCAGCTAATACCTCACCTCACACTCAACAGCAGTCATATTAAATCTATATAACAAGCTTCTGTGTTACACACATGATTGTTAGATTTGGTAAACACTGAACTTTCTTTCATCTGAATCACTAGTGATGTGATTTAGAGCTGTACCGCATATGAACTGTTAGAGCTGGACATTAACAAATTCTGGCATCAACAAGTGCCACTGCAATTTTGCACATAAACTGTTAGAGCTGGAATGAACCGAGAATGTGTAAACCTACCGCATGCTGTTGAGTACAAGACTGTAAACCCTAGCACAAGGACTTAGCCCACCAAAATATAAGCAATTACTTAGTTTGACACATCCCCTATTAACGGGAATGGAGTGTTGGCCCCGCCCACGCTCGAGCGACACCGACGTGCGGGTCGGATGCACGGGAGTAGCAGCCGACTGTTCGCAGTGAGGGAGCTGCTCGTCGGGCTTCGTCGAGCTGCATGGGTCATTGCGGTGTTGCCGTCGACCAGGGGGTTCGACGGCCTTCTTCTGCGGGGCAGGTCGACGAGGTAATCGTCGACCTGCACAAGATTATCGCGAGGCTGGAGCCGTCAACCAGAAGAGATTGACGGTCGCAAGTGACAAGGCTCGTCGACGGGCGGGCCGTCCACCAGGAGGAGCAGCAGTCGACGAGGAGAGCTCGCCGACAGCACCTGCAGTGCCGGTCGACGGAAGGGGTTCGTCGACCAGGGTGTTGCTCAACAGGAGCTATTGTCGACGAGGGAGTCGTCGACCAGAGCACTGGGTGGTCGACGAGCACGTACAAATTCTGGTCACCATGTCCACACCGACATGGTGGTTTCCAGGTCGACCAAGTAACCTGCTCGGCAAGTCCTGCGGAGGCGCGCGAACGTTGTCGAGGTCGCAGTGACGCAGGCGAATCCGGGCTGGTATCCCGAAGTCGATGTGGCTCTTCAGGCGCAGACAACAGCCGACGGATGCACAGCAATGCAAGTCGGGCCAACCATCTGCGCGCACCTGCGAGTGTGCGCACTGATGTCTTCTACGGGACAATGCTAGACAGCCGCCCTGCTGCAGTGTTGGCACGCCGTCGACTTGCTCTGTTGGCAGGTCGCCCTTCTGCAGTGCTGGCGCGGCTCCTCTACGCAACGCTGGCAGGCGGTCGACCAAGCTGTACTGGCGGTCGACCAGGCTAGTTGCAGGGTTGCTAGGTGCCTGATGTAGTCATTTCCTGCATTACTTGTTCGATCATTCTAAAATGCAATCTTTGCCTAGTGAAATTGTTGCCAAATCCTCCCGTGAATGCGCAAGCGCTAAGGAACTAAGCAAAACTAAGATCAAAGGGCCACAAATGCCAAAAAGCCAGTCAATGAGATAGTATATGTGTAGGTAGAGTCACGGACAGTACTAGACACAAAGATAATGAAACTAGCAAGTAAGAACCGTCCTCGCCACGATTGAGATCCATGTCGGTGCTATGGTTGCGTAGGAAGCTGCCCTCTTTTCTCATTGACCTATGTGAGCCACCTTTCTTTGCCCTTGTCCTGTTCGCTGATGTCAGAACCATGATCCTCCTACGTCCGGAGCCTCAACTTGAGGGTTGGGCAAAGCATATTGACCTGTGGTACCTGACGATGAGCGCGTCGACTTCATGAGACAACTTTAGAACCGATTCTAAAACTGTGAACTCTAAGTCTCGTCCCTGTAAGCCACGACGCATCAGTATGCCTGGTGAGTCCGACTGGCTATCGTCCTCCAAGCACAAGTCCTATGACTGACGTGCTCGTTTGGTAGCGTCACAACCCCTTCAGAGGAAGACCAGTGGATGAGTCGGTGTCTCCCAGTCACAGCAACGTGAGCAAGGATGTTGAGCGAATATGCAAAAGTAGGGTGAGTACAGGTTATCAGATATATGAGGCTCCCCGCCAGCTCTCTGTACAGGCCACTAGGCTCAGCAGACTTGTCAGGGCGGAAGCCAAGAGCTTATGGTCGACAGCAAGAGGAGTGGGCTGTGGAGAAGAGTATTGAAGGTTGAACTGCTCGAGAATCTGCTGCCACCATATGTGATTGAGTCTGTGTGATCGTGCGTGCTACTCTGTTTGAGGTGATCGGCCAGCCAAGATAGTGGTACAGCTCACCTAGGTCAGTGCAGCTGTGTCTCCTCTATAGCTCTGCCTTCGTTGAGGCCAGTACGGCTGTATCGCGATTAGCAAAGATGAAGTCGTCGATGTAGATAAGGATGTGGAACGACATTGAGCTAATGAAGAGATAAGGGTCAGCAAAGGACAGAGAAAAGCCAAGGGCAGTATGAGTAGTATGTAACGTGTCATGCCACTCATGTAGACTGGCCGCCGAAGGCTCCAGTTGGTACCAAGAATGAATGACCCAGTGAAACTAGGACGGCGGTAGACTAGATCTGTTCATGCATGCTGTACTAGAGGATGGCCGTGGAGGAGTCTAATGAGTGAAGCTTGTAGTCACAC